AAAGATAGATCAAAAAGCTTTGTTCATCCATAAGTGGCTCGGGTTGTTGTCTTAAGTATAACCTTGAGGGCAACCAATGGGTGAAAAACTTGTATGATTTGAGAAAAAAGTGGGGTTGTTGTTTACTGTGACTCTTTTACAGGTAAAATGAGCGTGACTTAGAGGAGTGAAGGTATGAATAGTGTACTGACATTGCCAGTCATGACACATTCTCACTCGCACGCACGCACGCACCTCTGTAGGGCTGCTAGCAAACGCCCACGACAAAAGACCGGAGGTACCCGTAACTCACTAGCCCACTAGAGTACACCTCTCCAGTGCTCTTCTCTAGAGCTGTGAGGGCCGAGGGGTGAGGAAAGGAACGGAAAAGAAGAGCGTCTGCAATACTCCGTACCTCAGCAGCTATGGTAACGAGAATTTGAGACTAAAGTGGTAAGTTACGATATGGGAACGTAAACATTCTTCAATCGGAGACGTAAATATCTTCGGAACGTGGACATGTTCTTCGTGGCTGCTAAGCTCTATTTCTTCAATCGGCGCATGTATGACGATTGACAACGTGCTTGGACAGTGGACACTGACCACAAGGTTCTGATTGATTGATGAAATAGAATAACCAAAGCAAATACATCCGCACGTAGCTAACGACGCAACACAGCACGAGCAGCAGAGCAGGGGCAGAGCGCTCGTCGCCAGTCGTCACAGCGGCGACAAGGCGCGCGTGGGCGCGGCCCCGCTGGCAGCACCCCGTGCTCCGTCCGTAGTCCATCCACTGCTCTGCCCTGCTCCGCTTCCGCTAGCTTCCCTCCGCGCTGCTGCAAAAGGCAGAGCGGCTTCTCCCACGACTTGTCACCGCTGCTATGCGGGCAGCTTGTGATGTCTCGCTGCCGCCGCAAAGTCCAAGAGAAGCTCACACACGTCCGCCACTGCCCACTGGGAAAAGCTCAAAGCTCTCTTCCCGTCGGACGCAAGCCAACGATGCCTTGAGTGTTCAAGCATGTACTTTTTGGAGCAGCTGGCGTGCGGGCCCGCATCGCCGAGCCCCCCGAGCGCCGAGCAGCGGACAACGTGCGGACTGTGGAGTACCCACGGCCGGGCCAGAGTCACGGTCGCTGCGCCTGCGCATGACGGACGACCTTTGCGAGTACTACTCCATACACTAATACTGTAGGTATTAGGCCCGGTCCTTGGATTCGCTGCGAGTACTACTCCATACACGATTTTTTTTTAAAATTATACTGTAACACTTTCGTTGTTATTTGATAACTAGTGTCCAATCATAGTCTAATTAGGTTTAAAAGATTCGTCTCGTGAATTTCGTGTAATTAGTTTTATTTTTTATTTATATTTAATGCTTCATGCATGCGTCAAAGATTCGATGTGATGAAGAATCTTGAAAAATATTGCAAAATTTTAGGAACTAAACAGCCACTAACCACACGCTGACATGCAGGTGTCAAAGCGTAAAGGGTTCGTGTGCATCGATTGGGCTTGCCGCTTGCGCATGGACGGTGTCCAGTCCAGGGAACGGGAACAGGATGGCGGGCGGGCAGCCGCCAGCCGAGGGCCAAAGCGCCTAGGGCCAACGGCTTCTTACCCCAAACAGCATCTCTGAGCCACGCCCGATAAAAGCGAGGGGAAAGCGAGGTGGACGTAACACTGCCGGCCTGGGACGTAGCTGCAGTGCCGTCGGATGGGTGGGGCCAGGCCGTCTTGGGGACCCTTTCCTTTGCACGTTCGTTCGATCGAAAAGCTATGGATCAAAATGCTATGGCAAGTTGGATGAAAAAGTACGGCTTATAAACGAAATCAAACATAACACTTCCTTTTTACTCGTACCCGTGCCACTGTTAACTCTCCATGTATAACGAGGCCGTCCGCTCGTGTGGTCTCGTGCATTTTGATCGCGCTCTCGCTCCCTGCCCTATGGCCATCGTCCTGTTTGTTTAGGTTTATTTAGTTTATAAGTCGTCTTTTTCGGTAAACAAATAATATTTTTCTCATATTAAATAAGTCAATGAGTATTTTTAGTCGTGGCTTACGAGCCAATCAAGCTGCTTGACCGAGGCGCATGTCCCGGACCATCACGGTCGCGCCCGTGCGAGGCCCGGCCGGCAGCCTGGCGTACTGCATGCGTACGTACGCGTGCACAGTGCGGTGGCGCATGCATGTGGCACGGCATGGCGTGGGCGAGGGCCCTGCCTGTGCGGCTGTGTGCGTGCCTGCGTTTGCTGCCTTGGTCGACCGGCCTCGCCACGCCGGGCTCTACTGCGTTCGCAGCGGCGGCACTGCGGCAGCGAGCCAGCGGACGCATGCAGCAGCTGCTGCGTCGACAGTCTTGTACTACGAGGCGTGCCGAGCCATCAATGTCCACTCGACCTTACACTTACGAGCAGTACTGTACTGGACAAAGAGCCTGGCTCGCATTGCCAACCCAGCCCTCTTGTTTGGCCCTTCTCCGAAGCGTGCGTTGCCTTCGGGAATCTTGAGCTGATGATGATGATGTCATGATGAGATGAAGGCCCATTCTGGAAGACGCTGGCACAATGATAAACCCATCGAGTGTACGAACAGTTGGAGATCGATGTGGCCTGTGGGCCCGGCGGATCAACAGCGATCGTGCACAGGAGTGTTAGTACTACGAGCTGTTGATTTCATGATATCCCCCAACAAATCCAAATAGTAAATTCTAGCTTTAAGTTGTGACAAGGCCTTCATGGCCAGGGACAAGCACAAGCAGACAAAGAGCCATCTTCAGGAGTGCACCCTGCACTGCATGCGCAATGCCCCTGATTTTTATGAGGCCGGGTTTCCGGGTCAAATCACACAATGGCCTCACATCATTTAAGCCCGTGTTCAGGCCTTGTGTAGATTGTAAGTTTTTTCACTCTATGTAACATCGAATCTTTGATACATGTATGGAATATTAAATATAGATAAAAAAATAATTAATTACACAGTTTGATTGTAAATTATGAGACGAATTTTTTGAGCCTAGTTAGGCCATGATTGGACAATAATTGTTGTCAAATCTGAAACGAAAGTCTTCTGATGTCAAATCTTCGATTCCTAACCCCAATCTAAACAAGGCCTTAGTTCAAAAAACTTCCCAAAAGGTGCTACAGTAGCCATCACATCGAATCTTGCGATACTGCATATAGCATTAAATGTAGACGGAAAAAAAACTAATTGCACAGTTTGATTGAAAATCACGAGACGAACGTTTTAAGCCTAATTAGTCTATGATTGAACACTAACTGACAAATATAAATAAAAAGTGCTACAGTAACTAAATTCTCAACACACGCAACCCCCCCGGTAAAGACGCCCTAAGCGTACTACTACACCACACCTGCAAAATAGAGTGGCATGAATCCCGTACTAGCGGTGTTTGTAGCATGGACCATGGACCGGGCCAACTCATGGATCGGATCGGTGTGGCTAGGCCAGGGTCGGGGTACCATGGCGCCGAGGGCCGAGGGACGTTAACCGGAGCAGGGTCCCTCTCGGAACAGCTCAACCAACTGCATGTGTCCTGCAACAGAAAAGCGGCCCCCTCGCCCTAGGTAGCGCACACATCTAGCCATCTAGGGTGGGGGAGCCGAGGGCACCCAGCACGCCAGCAGGCAGCAGCATACTCAGGTGGCTACAGGGAGTTCGATGGCAATGTCAATGTGGGCGCGCCAGGCCAGGCCGGGCCAGCCGGGGTCCGGCGCTGCTGGTACCGCACCATCGGCCGTTCGGCGATCCAGGGCGTACTGTGCCGGTGCCCGGTGTGCCCCCCCTCGAGTTTGTCACCATCGGTGAGGGACAAGCGAGAATTATGCTGCTTGGCAACGCTGAACGGCGGTGGGCGTCAACTGGATCCATCGGGTATCAAAACGTACAAATGCATCTTGTGTCCCCCTTGCTCTTTACATGATCCGTATGATATTTTTACCATGCCGAAAATTGAGAACCATGAAAAACTAGGATATGCAATCCAACCATCCAAAAACAGAGTGACAGAAAAGTTTCCCCATTGAACACGATGTACGTACCACGCTAGTACGCTCTTATAATTGAATATAAGCCCGGTTTAGTTCTCTAAAAGTACACTATGTAAAAAGAAGATTCTCCGTCACATTAAACTTACAGTATATATATGGATTATTAAATATAGACGAAATCAAAAACTAATTGTACGGTTTGTTTTAACTTTGCGAGACGAATCTTTTAAGCCTAATTAATCAATGTTTGGACAATAATTCACAAATACAAATAAAATACTATAGTGAAGAATCTTTTACTATGCAAAATTTGTACCTCCAAAGTTTGCCGAACTAAGCGCGGCCTAAACTTTGAATCATAAAAACAAAAAATAAAGAGGCAGTAAGCGACGGACTGAAGGAGAGACTGGTCTGAGCTGGGAGCAACGGTGGCAGCCAGAGCCAGGCACAGGAGTGTCAGCCCGTCCTTGGCTCTCATCACTCCCCCACCTCTGCCGCTGCACTGCACAGTGCACAGCGGCTCCCGGCACACGCGCCTGCGCTGTCCACCACTACTGCCTTCCCCTCAACTCGCCGGCCACTTCCTTCGCTACAGTATTCGTTCGAGACTCATGCCTCTGCTCTGCGTGCGCCGGTGGGCGAGAGGAGGAGAGAGGCAGAGGCAGCCGGCCAAGAAGTGTCAAACAAAACCACTGCGGCTTTGTCCGCCACCAGCGGCAAGAGCGGGCAATATTTCAAAGGCCGTAGCCCCGTAGGCCTGCCTCTCGCCTGCGCCCTACTCGGCTACTCCCCACCACACCACTTCCCTTCCCCGCCTACAAGCAAGCCACCCCAGCCATTCATGGCCATCACCACCATGTGTCGCCACCCCACCTCCACCTCCCACCCACTCCTCTCCCCGCGCCATTAAACCCGGCCTCACTCGCTTCCTCAGCTCCATCCGTCGCCGCATCGGCGCTTTGCTGCTGTTTGCTCCTTCCGTGGAGCCAGCTGCTGCGGCCGACCGGGGCCATGGCGGGCTTTGACCTCAACACCGTGGAGGAGGAGGACGAGGAGGAGGCGGAGGCGCCGCCTGTGGCCAGGGCGGCGGGTGCCGCCGTGTGCCTGGAGCTGTGGCACGCGTGCGCGGGCCCCGTCGCGCCGCTGCCGCGCAAGGGCAGCGCCGTCGTGTACCTGCCGCAGGGCCACCTCGAGCACATCGGCGGCGACGTGGACGCGGCGGGAGCAGCCGCCGCTGCGGCGGTGCCGCCACACGTGCTCTGCCGCGTCGTCGACGTCACCCTCCACGTGAGTTCGTGCGTCGCGCCGCGCGCGCGGGGTCTGGGCGGCGCTTGTACGGTGCCTGCGAGCGCAATGTGCTCGAGCTATTGACTGACAAGAGAAAACCTATCTTTGTTCCGTGCAGGCGGACGGCGCGACGGACGAGGTGTACGCGCGGGTGTCGCTGCTGCCCGAGGACGAGGAGGCGGAGAGGCGGGCGCGGGCGCGGGTTCGGGAGGACGAGGACGAGGACGCGGATCGCGACGGCGAGGACGGGGCCGCCATGAAGCCGCTCGCGCGGACGCCGCACATGTTCTGCAAGACGCTCACGGCCTCCGACACCAGCACGCATGGCGGCTTCTCCGTCCCGCGCCGCGCCGCCGAGGACTGCTTCCCGCCGCTGGTACGGCCAGTAGCACTGAAAGAGGTCCCTTCTCATGCTGGTTTGGAGGTTGCTTGGGTTACTGACTCTGTTTAGTGTGGCGTGCAGGACTACAGCCAGCAGAGGCCGTCTCAGGAGCTCGTGGCCAAGGATCTACACGGCACGGAGTGGAAATTCCGACATATCTACCGAGGTAGTACGCCAATAGTATGTATTGACTGGGCTAGCTTGGCTTGGGTACTCACTATGGGCTATACGATTTTGTACATTATGCTTCGTTGTTAGAATTCTCTCTGCAACACGTGTTCCATTTTCTTAGCATGTTATTCAGGCTTAAGTACCGAATGAGACTCAGTTCAGAAGGAGGGCTGTAGTTGTGTTCATTTGAGAGTCTGCATTTTCAGTAATAATAATTGAACAAATGTTGGCTTTAGTTTTCAAGTAATGGAGGTTATTGTATTTGCATTCAGTCTGTAAATTTGAGCAAATTTCTGAAAATGAATATCTTGAAGCTAATTTAAGTGGTCAGGAAAATCAACTGATACTTCAACAAAAGATCATGCAACTTGCGAACAGCGAAACATATGTTAGTGATTGTATGAAACTATGAAACATAAAATAGGACGGATGCTATTGGATTTTGAATAACTATGGTTTCTGATAGGCCTGCTTGTTACAGGCCAACCACGAAGGCATCTCTTAACCACTGGATGGAGTGCATTTGTTAATAATAAGAAGCTTGTTTCTGGAGATGCAGTTCTGTTCCTTCGGTAGGCGTTTAGCTCATTTTGTCATTATACATATTGTACCTTCTCTTCTGTATAGACTTTCATCCTTTTCCAGAGGTGAAGATGGAGTGCTTCGACTGGGAGTGCGCCGAGGACCCCAGCTAAAAATTGTAACTCCTATTCCTGCACCGCATAACCAGTGCTCAAGTCATAGCACTCTGGGAAATGTTGCACAAGCTGTGGCCACCAAGACTGTTTTCCACATTTACTACAATCCTAGGTAATAAAAGTACTTTTCTGGTTGTTTTGTCAATATTATCTAGATGTCTGTACTGGTACATATTTGACAAGCTCACATTCACATGATGCAACTATAAGGTGTGATAGAGCATAAGCTATGCATGCAATTTGTGGATCCTTAAATAATAGGAAAGTACTAAATCCTACTGTTGTTCCTTAGTGGCTTGCTCAAAAACCATTTACTAGAGACTAAATATTATGTCTTACTTATACTCGGTTCAATACTTAACTGACGAGCAAATCCAGTGCTGCCTGTTTTCGAGTACAACAATCCACTTTTATGGTGTCACAATAGTGGCTGTTGTTGTGCTATGGTTGATTAACAAAATAAAAAAACTGATCCCTTTTGTTTCACCTCCTTGACCTGTTGCATTATCTTGTGTTTCCATACTTGCAAATTATGCTATCGCATGTGATCTTTGGGAATGAAGACACGATGCACATTTAAGGTTACCATTTAGATTTCAAGGTTGTTTTTTTGAATTTAACATTTGACCTACTGATGCCAAATTATATTGACAAGTATCTATGCCGTTCTTCTGTGCTACTTCTTTTTTAGTGCCATGATTAAATTTGTGACGAGTTAGAAGTGCACAGAATTTCAGATATGCATTTTCCTTCCAATGTCTCCCCTTGTTGGAGGAGTCTGATGCCTTCCTGTGTATAAGAAATTACTTGAATTCACAGGTTAAGTCAATCTGAATTCATTGTACCCTATTGGAAGTTCAAGAGAAGCTTCAATCAACCAATATCTGTTGGAATGAGATGCAGAATGCGATATGAAAGTGACGGTGCTTCTGAAAGAAGGTTACAGTGGTGCAATGATCATATATGTTTTTTGCTGACGGATTTCCCATGCACTCTGGTTTTTCTATTTCACTCATTCTGATGTGTTCAAAATCATTTCTTTTCAGGTGCACTGGGATAATAATTGGAAGCAGAGAAGCTGAGCCTATTTGGTATGGTTCAAAATGGAAATTCTTGGTGGTATGTTCTCTTCTCCTGATTTGTACATAAGACGGATGCCAATATTAGTATCGATTGTACGTGTATTCTTAAGAACATAATTGCAAGAATAATCAATGTCTGTATCTAGTAGTTCATTATTGGCATCCTTCCTGGCCTGAACTTTAAGAACATGATTCCAAGTAGACCGAATTTATGTGTATACTAATCCCTCCGTTCCAAATAATAAGTCACTTTAGTTTTGTAATGAGTCAAATTTCTCCTTCTTTGACTAGCTATAAAGAAAATGTACCAAAAAGCGTCAAATGAATTTTGTTAAATTCTCCATGGAATGTCTTGATAGTGCATTTATTTGAACTGTGTCTATATGTTTTCTAAAAACTTGATCAAAGTTAGAGAAGTTTGACTTAAAAAGCTAAAGTGACCTATTTGAAATGGAGGTAGTAGTAATTTTGAAGAAACAAATCTATTGCTGTACCCTAGGAGGCTACTACTAATGCTTGACATCATCAACGCAATTTCTATTTTTTTCTTTGGTTATTGTGCTACTAATCAAGTTATATTCATTTAGCGCGTCTGAAACTAACAACAACAACAACAACAACAACAACAAAGTCTTTAAGTCCCAAACAAGTTGGGGTAGGCTAGAGTTGAAACCCAGCAGAAGCAATCAAGGTTCAGGCACGTGAATAGCTGTTTTCCAAGCACTCCTATCTAAGGCTAAGTTTTTGGGTATATTCCATCCTTTCAAGTCTCCTTTTATTGCCTCTACCTAAGTCAACTTCGGTCTTCCTCTGCCTCTCTTCACGTTACTAGCCTGGTTTAGGATTCCATTACGCACCGGTGCCTCTGGAGGTCTCCGTTGGACATGTCCAAACCATCGCAACCGGTGTTGGACAAGCTTTTCTTCAATTGGTGCTACCCCTAATCTATCACGTATATCATCGTTCTGAACTCGATCCCTTCTTGTATGACCGCAAATCCAACGCAGCATACGCATTTCCACGACACTTATCTGTTGAACATATCGTCTTTTCGTAGGCCAACATTCTGCACCATACAACATAGCAGGTCTAATCGTCGTCCTATAAAACTTGCCTTTTAGTTTCTGTGGTACCCTTTTGTCACATAGGACACCAGATGCTTGGTGCCACTTCATTCACCCTGCTTTGATTCTATGGCTAATATCTTCATCAATATCCCCGTCTCTCTGTAGCATTGATCCTAAATATCGAAAGGTATCCTTCCTAGGCACTAATTGACCTTCCAAACTAATATCTTCCTCCTTCCGAGTAGTAATGCCGAAGTCACATCTCATATACTCAGTTTTAGTTCTACTGAGTCTAAAACCTTTGGACTCCAAAGTCTCTGCCATAACTCCAGTTTCTGATTCACTCTTGTCCGGCTTTCATCAACTAGCACTATATCGTCCGCGAAAAGCATACACCAAGGGATGTCCCCTTGTATATCCCTTGTGACCTCATCCATCACTAAGGCAAACAGATAAGGGCTCAAAGCTGACCCTTGATGTAGTCCTATCCTAATCGGGAAGTCATCCGTGTCTCCATCACTTGTTCGAACACTAGTCACAACATTATTGTACATGTCCTTAATGAGCTCGACGTACTTCGTTGGGATTTTATGTTTGTCCAAAGCCCGCCACATAACATTCCTTGGTATTTTATCATAAGCCTTCTCCAAGTCAATAAAAACCATGTGTAGGTCCTTCTTCTTCTCCCTATACCGCTCCATAACTTGTCTTATTAAGAAAATAGCTTCCATGGTTGACCTTCCGGGCATGAAACCAAATTGGTTCATAGAGACCCGTGTTATTGCTCTCAAGCGATGCTCGATAACTCTCTCCCATAGCTTCATAGTATGGCTCATCAACTTAATTCCCCAGTAATTAGTACAACTTTGAATATCCCATTTATTCTTGTAGATCGGTACCAATATACTTCTCCTCCACTCGTCAGGCATCTTGTTCGATCGAAAAATATGGTTGAACAGCTTGGGTAGCCATACTATAGCTATGTCCCCAAGGCATCCCCACAATAGCGCGTCTAAAACTAAACTTCAATTATTTCTTTGTGCTTGCGGAACTTCATGCCTGCTTGTAGTTGCAATTCATGCTTCTAATAGTTCGAGTCTATTAGTCACTAGGTATAGAATGGGAGTTATAGCATCTAAAAGCTAAGCTAATGTCCTTAGCCAAAGTTTTCGTATGTAATATTTGAATCCTGCAGTATTACTTTCATACTTTGTTACTTACCTTCCAAGATATTTGTCTGATGTAAAGTTTAATGTTTTATTTACATACCATTGTGGGTCAGACTTCAGTTTGAGCCTTGATGGGAAATTCTTATCCTTCTGTTCCCTTCTGAAATCTTGTTCCAGGCTGCCATATGTTATTGACTGGTGGTCATCTTGACAGGTTAGATGGGATGATGGTATAGAGTGCCATTGGCCCAATAGGGTATCTCCTTGGGAGATTGAGGTCACAGGATCAGTTTCAGGATTTCATATGTGCGCTCCCAATTCAAAACGTCTGAAACCATGCCTCCCTCAAGTTAATCCGGAGATTGTGCTTCCAAGTAGGTAGTTTTACAAGTGAAAGGAGAACCATTAGCCAAGGTTTATGTGCCCTGCTGAATTTGTCCTCTTTTGCTATTTTGGCAGATGGAAGCGTTTCTTCAGATTTTGCGGGATCTGCCAGATTCCACAAGGTCTTGCAAGGTCAAGAATTGTTGGGTTTGAAAACCCATGACGGTACTGCTATTTCTGCTTTTCAGGCAACTGAAGCGAGAAATTTGCAGTACAGTGATGAACGTAGTAACACGAGTAACAATATCTTAGGGATCCCAAGACTTGGTGTTAGATCTCCAAATGGAATCCCTGGTTTTCCCTACCATTGCTCAGACTTTGGGGAATCTCAAAGATTCCAAAAGGTCTTGCAAGGTCAAGAAGTGTTTCGTCCTTTCCGAGGAGGATGTTTGGCTGATGGCCATGTAAGAACTGATGGCATGTATCAACCTGATGGTAGCCATGTATCTGGTGCAGCGTATAAATGGCCTGCACCACGAGGGTGTGATTTTCCACAGCCAGCAAAACCGGTTCTTCTGTTGCAAGCATCCTCCCCATCATCTGTGTTTATGTTTCCACAAACTAGTTCTAAGATAACTCGCTTGGAATATGAGTACAGCTGCCTGGATAAGGATGGGGATGGTAGATTTGATAAGACTGTTCCTACTCAAGATATGGGAAGAAGCAATCAAGCATTATCTCTTTGGCCTCATCTTGTTTCCGGCGAAGCAATAGAAGAATGTACTGGAACTGAGAATATGCACTCCCCTGTCAGTGGTGCTGAGCATGAATCAAACAATGAGAGTACAGTTGAAAATGGCTGCAAAATCTTTGGTATCTCATTGGCTGAAAAGATCCGATCATGCGATGAAGCAGACTCTTGTAGTGCAAAATGTAATTCTCGGCTCCAGCCTTCCAAGTCAGAAATGCCAAAATCGCTAGGCAGCTGTTGGGCCACTGTAAGTGCTTCGTAGTTTCTTCTTTTGACATTGTCTTGGTGTGATTGCTCATTAACTGATGAAAGTTTTGTAGGTTCATGAGCAAAGACCTGTTGTTGGCAGGGTGGTTGATGTCTCGGCCACGGATATGATGATCTGATCCACATGGCTTATCCTTGTAGAAGATGCAGAAAGGACAACCGACTGCAACTTTCATGTTAGTGACACTCATGGACGTTAGAAGTTTATAAAACCTCCTTTCTGCAATTTTCCACCGACCTTACGCTGTGAGGCTTCTTAACCATAACTTTTGCAGGGCCTGAACCACATCCTAGATGAAAGATTGCTAAAAGGTGACCTTATGATTCTTGGAACAAGGATGTTTGGCAAATTTGTAATGTACTTTTGGGCTTTGAATATCTTATTATCTTAAGCTACCTAGTAATCAGCACTTGTATCTTAAGGTGTGCGTTATGGCAAGTTCTTTTAGAGAGCTTGTTTGGACTAGCACCATTTCCCAAGTACTTGTCGCATTATTTCTTTGCCCCCGGGAAACAAGTCCGTTTTTTTTCTTCCTGTGATGTTTAATTGGCAGATTGGCTCGAGTCTTTTTGGTACCATTTGTTGCATCGTGTGTGCTTGAACAATTGCACATCTCAAGCGGTAAATTGAGGTTTCAGGAGCATGATTTGACCAGCTAGTTGCTGCCTTCATTGGGACGTTCAGTCAAGGAATAAAGGCGTTGCAGTATCCCTTGGCGGAACTGCCAGCAGTAGCCAGTAGCCGACGGCTAGTTTTGACAAGCTGGCGTGGAGAACGTACGTGAGGTCGTGGAGAACGTACGTGAGGTCGCCGACGGCGGTGGGGAGGCGGCGTCATGGCGTACCCGCTGGTGGACGCGGCTCGGCCAGAGCTGGAGCGTGGAGCCCAGGCCCGCGTCGGCGCCGGCTTTCGGGACCCGGCGGCTCACGGTGAGGGTGCACGGTGGCAAGGTGGTGGTGCGAGGCGAGGCCGGGCCCACGCGGACTGAGGAGAGCTCGGCCTCGCCGGGGAGGGCCCGCTAAAGCCTAGCTACGGGCGCCTATGGTTGCTGCTACGGTGGGGCTAGGGGAGGAGCACGGGAGGGCAGTGCGGAGGGGCGTGGCCGTGGTGATGGAGCAGCGTGGGGGAACGCGGTGCTCGGGCGTGCTCACGTGCGTGGTGACTGGGCGATGGGAGCGGCCGCGGTCGGACGGGAGGCATGGTGCGGCGACGGTGGCGTGCTAGCACGGCAGCGACGTGGTACACGGTGGCTCCCGGCATGGTGAAGGCCGATGAGCAAGTGCGGGACACCGAGGAGAGTGAGGTGGAGGCGGTGAGGCAGGTGGTCGAGCGCAGGAAGGCACCGAGCGGTGGCGAGTTCGAGCCTCGCGGCGGCCACGGCGGCAGCACGCGCAATAACGAAAGGGAAGAGAGCGGAGCTAAGCCGGAACAGCGCGAGGGAGGGAGGGGAGCGTCGTAGGGGCTCGGTGTCCTCAAGAAAGCAAGGGTAGGGGTGGCACGACATAGGACTGATGCAGCAGGGTGCACTGGGCGAGCATAGTGCCCCTCTGGCACATCACATGGCAATGACGGAGCAGGGCGTGCGTATGTTGTGGCGCGCGTGTAAGTGTATGTGTGAGGCGGTGCTGCGAAGGCGATCTGTGTGCAGCAGCTCGAGTAGGTGGGGACGAGCGGGTGAAGCGGCTGCTGCGGTGACCCGAGCGACAGCGAACAACAAGCACCTCGGCACGCGCTGCGTGGGCGGCATTACGGTCGATAGCGAGCTATGCACGAGTTTTAAGCGAATAAAAGCGCTAACGACCACGATTGAGGTTCAACTAATTCGCGACTCTAAAGTTGATCTTATCGACTATCTAACGGAGCCATCGCACAACAAAAGGACCACCGAGAGGAAGATACATGCGTGCCAAGATGAGTTCGTCTAGCTAGGCGCTGGTTCATGAACCGAGCAGCAATTCATAGACCACAGCGCGTTCTAACGAAATTAGGTAATTTCTACGAGAGTACCGTGACACCTTTCGCCCCCTCGACCTACACCATTCTCAAGTGCTCAATTCGACGCATCTGACAGTGCAAAAATATGAAGTTTGTGTTTAGGAAATTTTTGCGGATATTTAAATGTCGAAGTAGCATTGTCTATCGTCTATTCACACAAAAGGAATTCAAGGTTCCAATTAGAACTAACACTCCCTAGCACTTTTGGTTAAATTTTTAAACGGTCAAAACTTTACCAAACTTCACTAACAACCATTTCACGACATAGCACACACTTTATACCAAACAATAGAACCAAAACATCAGGGCGTTATTTAACTATTTTGCATTTTATAAATCGCCAAAAAGAGTACTTTCAACACAACTTCAAATTTTTGCCGATTCAACGAAAAGGGAAAATTTTAATTTCCAATTTGATTTTTGAGCTTCCAAGAACACTAATTAACAACCTTTGCTTCCCAAATGTTAATGTTGCATTTCCATGTACAAAACTTGCACTTCAATTTTTATTTAAGTACTAAATACAAGTTATGTTTTATTCTTGTTTATAGAAATCGCTTTTCGTGCCAAACAATTAAAACTACTTTTCTTATTTTCTTGTTAGAATTTTCATTAGCACATTTAAGTAACGAACTCACTATATTAATAGATCTATCTCTCAGGCCATAATCTCCTTGCTTAGCAAGCTCATAACACCAGAGGTGTTACAAAAGTATTATTCATAGTGTAAGCATGGTGCTTAGACTCGGGTAACTCGTGGATGTACCCTACATTCCAGATCGGTGGTAGCTCACGAGGGTGACTCTTATAGCCTCGTTGAATCCTCTATAGTCCACCTCTCGTTTGTAGGACTAGCAGGATTTAGTTATTATAGAAAACATATTCTGTCTGTGTTTCCCTTAGTAATATCCCCAGTCAAACAATAGAAGACATAGCTTATCGAGATTAGAACTAGAAGACCTTAGCGATCTCCTCTACACTCCCGACTTTCTTAAATCTTGTTGCTACTCCGGGTTAAGTTGAACCATAGTTAACCTCACACATTTCCCTATGGATACGATACTTGGAATACCTCCGGGTGAAAGCTACAGTGGTATCCGTGCGCTTGTGGATTTATCTATGTGCGTTAAAATATACCAACAAGCTTTCTGGCGCCGTTGCCGGAGAAATGGTTGCTGAATTAACTATGAACCTAGCTTAACCTTGTATCATACTCTTTTATCTTTTTATTCCTTCATTCTTTTCTTTTCTTTTCTATTATGAATTCCACTCCTATCTATCAATACACTAAACCCATGAGCGTGAGCTTTGGGCCACCTAAGTCTGTAAAGCCTATCCTAACACTTGGCTATGAGCTGTGCCCGTGTTTAATAAAACTAATTCAGGATCAATTCTTCTTGGGAGAAGGTGATGAAAACCCGTACTCACACCTATGAGTTTGAGCAGACCTGTGTATGCTTGCGTATCGCTGACATATTTCCATTCTCTTTGACAGGAAGAGCTAAACATTGGTATAGTAAAACCGTAGGAAGTATGCAAGGAGATTGGAAAACGTTATGCTCTAAATTTTATTTATGTTTCTTTTCCATCTCTAAAGTGGTTAGCCTTTGGAAAGATGTTCTAAATTTTAGACAACTAGAAGAAAAATCTCTTGGTACATCATGGGATCGTTTTAATGAACCCATCTTCACTAGCCCAGACCTTGCCATTCAAGACCCTGTACTTATTCAACATCTTTACGTGGGTCTTAGCAAGGATTCTAGGGAATCCCTTGATGCAGCCTCTAGAGGAGTTTTTCTTGATTTGTCTGCTAGTGAAGCAAGGTCTATGCTTAATAGAATTAGTGGAATCACTCCCTGCACTAGCATTCATAATGAACTCCTCGAGAAAGAGAATGAATCACCTCCCGAACAAGAAGAGGAAGTTTTGATAGCCAAATCACAACCACTCCAATCCCAGGATTTAGTTGTCAATCCCGAACTATCAATACCCCAAAATCCCTTGAGAGAAGGACTTCCACCTTTAAAAATCCCTACAAAAATAAAAGATGACCTTCTTGGTGCTGATTTTGGTAGAACATTAAATTCTCATCTTCATAAGAGATCTTCGAGCGATTATAATTCAAATCCTCTCAAGAAGGGGTCTCTTAAGAAGCATCCTTATTCTTATATGGGACATTGGGAAGAATTCAAGGATGGCATGTCTAGTGATGCCATAGAAGGAGAGCCAAGCTATTTAGAAGTCAATCCTATCTTCTCCCCTTCTATGCCCACATTAGATGTCTTATCTGAACCCATCTTTCAACCCATCGTTGACCCCGATGATCCCTCTTATGCTCTTTCTCCTCAGTCTCATAATGACCCTAGAAATCCACTAAGACAACCAAAGCATAGAAATCATGAAGGCCACAAGGAAGACCAAGAAGAGCAATAACAATGGCGGGAGGATATTAAGAACTTATGTGCCGTTGCCATCGAATGGATGGATGAGGTTATAGACAAGATCAATCTGAGAGTTACCAATCCAAGGGAAATCCTGGACAATAAAATGTCCAATGAATGTCATAGGCATGGAATGATGGAGATAATGTTTTTGCCTATAGACATTCATAAAGAAACACCCTTGGAGGTTGAAAAGGAAGATTTCAACAGCGAACATGGAAGTTATTTCATGAACACCACACCAAATCCATGCTCACATAAGAAATCTCCTGAACCAATTGGTCTTTCCAACGTTGCCACACACGAGATCCTCAACCCCTTATACTTTTTGTTCATAAAGACTTTGAAGGGGTGGTTGTAGATGCATATGTTTATCATAAATATTGCAAATCTCGTAGGCACGAATCTTGAGATAGGTACCCAAAGATTGGTGTTGGAGGGGAAACCACTCCACCAATTAGAAACGTAATTCAAAGGTTTCCCAACGACAAGCTTCTATCCTAAAACAAGCACTTTCAGGAGATAACATGAGCTTTTACCCTTTTTGTTGTGATGCCCTTGTGAAATAAGCATAGAAACATAATTGTAAAAATATTCCTTCGGGTATTATTGTCACTAACCATTCTAGGTCTAAAGCAAAAAGGATGAACGATGATGACTCAAGGTGTGTCTAACCAAACACCATGCAACATTTAATCACATCCATCCAAACTTGATTTTTGCCTTAAAAAATTCAAGTGTGGGGGATGAACTTCTCTAAAAAATCTTATGCTATATTGCTAATCCACCTTGGTTTCTACCTTTAAGCCATGCTCAATCTGTTAGATAATAATCATGCTCCTTCATCTCTATTTGAATAAATCTCTATAATGCTTTCATGTTACCTTTGTCTACCATAGTAAGTTTTGGTTTGGAAGTACTCGACATACTTCTAAAGTTTTAAAAAAAAAATTAAGCGAGATGCTTAGGTTAAAATACATTCCTTAATCAAATTAGACATGGAGTCCAGTTTGGTTATTAAACTAAAAATTGTTTTGACAAGTTTTGACCTCACTAGATATAAGGCTTTATAATTCAACGGATACTCCGCGGGATATTCACGGACACTCCGATGGTCCAGGCTGACTAAAGGTAAGACTTCTTAAGCGGCTTCTCATGGGTTTGACGGACACTCCGTCGAATTGACGGACACTCCGTCACTCGGGCGACAGAACCTATGCTCTTGGGAAATCCTAGGTTAAAGCTTAGATTTGTGGAGTTGTGCATCTTGCATGTGCCAAACATTCCTAAGGTAGCTCAGGTGGCTTACTAGGCTCAAGATAGGTAGGGTTTGAGCTAGTCATACTAAGTGTGGCTTAGGCTTTAGGATTCAAACCAAAACTCATGAGAAAGAGATAAACCTTAAGATTGAGCTAGAGATCCTTGGCTCTAAGATTGAGAGCTTCCATAGCTAAAGATTTGAAGATCCAACTCTTCCTCCATTCAAGCTCCTTTTCTCAACATGCAAGCCTTCCATCCATCACCTTCTCCTTGCAATAATCCAAACAAATACCTTAAGATGGATCCATGGGATGGCAAGATGGTGGAGGTGGTTGAGGGTCACTTGGACTTACTCAACTCATAATTGAACCACCTCTAGCAAGGGATCTCCAAGCTTCCACCAAAATCCACAAATTAGACCCCTCAGAAAATCCATAAATCAAGAACCAATCTCTCGAGCTCACCATGATTAGGTTGAAGATGTTGATGAGATCCACAGGGGGTGCTGATGCTTCTCCTCTTCTCCTTCCTCTCCTCCTCCATTCCCTTCTTCACTCCTTTCTCTCTCTAGTTCTATTTCATAAGAGTTAGAGAGAGAGGGAGAGGGTTGCAAATGAATGGATGAGGGAGAGAGTGGGTGAAAGGATGTGTTTTCTACTGAAGGCTTGTGCCAACTCGTGCTGACATGTGGGTCCACTTCCACAATTGGAAAACAGCCCAATTCCACTTAATCCTGTTCTAGTTCAACTCCTGTCAGATGATCCGGTAACCTGGCGGACGGTCTGGTGGTCTTTGTCTTTGCTGAATTGATTGAGTCACCGGTTGGTTGGTTATTGGTGACCAATACATTGCTCTTGAGTAGTTCCTCAGGATTGAGTGAGTGTCGATGATGTCAATAGAATGAACTCTAATCTAACTAGAGGTTCTCTTCCTCCATGTCGGGTGGGTTAGCGGATTCTCGGTGCTTCACCTCACGTACATAACGTGGGTTTCTACCAAAACTTTCAGTAGTCGACTTCTCTTGATATCCAAAAATGACCGCCTAGGTTGTAACGGAATTCGGGTCGTTACACTGGCGCCGCGGGATCATTCGCTCCATAAGAAACAGGTGAACGGCCGCTGAAATGGATTTTGCGTAAAAACACCAAGCCACACCTTTGCTTCTACATAAAAGGATGAATGAAGTCAATCTTCAGGACTCGGGTGTATCTTTGTTGTCATGTTTAGACCAGTTTCAGTAGAGGTTTTATAAAAATTTTATAGGCATTAAATAATTTGATATGACATAGTATAAATGAAGAGAGACAATAAAAAATTTATGGAATGAAATTAGTCTCATACGAATAAAATTTGTTCACACTATTTTCAATACATTGGAGTCTTTAAAACTAAGATGTGAAACCTCCGCTAAAGGTGGCATTATGATACACAATTCAAACGAAGTGCATGGACCAATCAATGAATCAAGTGGGCTATGGAATCACGTGTACGGTGCCTTTTTCGATCGGACCAGACAATTAACAAATGGCCCGGTTGCTATTTTTTGACTACTAATAATAATGCATTTTCTGAAAATCATACTTATATATAATATCGATTCAATAATCTGGAATGGTTGTTCGAATCCCGTGTGCAATACCGTACACGCATTCGCCTCGCAAGTTAGGAGTGGATCACGATCCATTCCCAGGCGTACTCGCAACCAGTGGCGGATTTTATAAGCGCTGGCTAGGAAAGCTAACGCACTACGCCTAATTGCAATACTTTTTTTTTGCGAGGTGCTACTTGCAGTACTTTTTATGACCAGCCACGTACTATTCTGATCTATGTGCGTGATCCATGGTTTGGTGGCGGCCTAACCTGCCTAATCGAATATTTCGGGCTTGTTTCTTTCAAGTTTCAACAAGTCTATTCCCATTCGAGTCAAGCTTAGCTCGCCTTTTGGTCCGGCGTGTGCAATCTGCAATGGATCCGCGTAAGCACACATATATAAGATAGACGCGGCATAGATTAGTTATTCAGGGGATATCAGCAGTGTTGAAAATAAGGGTATCATAAGCTTGCTAAGACCGACCAGATAGTGATACATTACCTGCAGCCTCATTGGTTTCTTGCATCTAGCTGAGGCAAGTTCGTCAAGTGCATGCGACATCTGCATAAATTGGTTACCTGAATATTAGTTTGAGACTATCTCAGCAGATGCAAAAGAAGGGCATCACTCGTCCTTCACGGACAAATACTACTACCTAGTCACTTGAATTCCCTGGCATTAATGGAATCTACTACAATCACATACTGTGTATGCACCTACGAACGATGTGATTATCTGATCGGCAGCACCAGCGCCTGCACGTCCAGACGCCTGCGTCCATCCAGACATCTACGGCTGCTCCGCCCCGTCCACTAGGATTCGCGTGCCTCCCACGCCGCGCTCGCATCCGAACCGTCCGCTTCAGATCCGCTGGCTACACTGCTCGGATGACTTGCCCCCGCCTCTTCCACACCGGAATGACGCCCGTCTCTTCCAAAGGCTACCGAAAGACTCGTCCGCCTCTTCCACCACCACCAGCAGCGCAGCCTGTGCCTCCTTCCCACACCGCCGGTGGTGGCCTGCGCCTCCTCCACGTGTCGGTGGCCACGGCTTGGCCCTGCACGTCCTCATGGACACCAACGCCGGCGGTCTGTACTTGCAAAATAAAACACTTGAATGCAACATACATTGGAAATATTTGGGACATACGTTTGTAACATGTGTGTAAAACATATACAATATCCAGATAAAACAATTACAACATGAAAAAACACTTACTGCAACATAAGACTAAAAGCAATTTGAAACATTTGGAACATATTATTTACCAGAGATATGTGAAAACATATGCAACATCTGAGATAAAAAAGCGATTGCAACATACGTCTAGAAACAGATGAAATATTTTGAACAAGCGCTTGCAACATGCTTTCAAATACTTATAACATATGCAATATGTGCAACATCCCCGATCTACTTTTGCAACATCCATAAGAAACAAGCTGCAACATACCTTTGAAACAACTAAAACACACGAAACACACATTTGCAACATAGGGGAGGGGAAGCACTGGATCGGTCGATTCCGGCCCGGAAAGTCGAGCCGAGCCAAGTGGCGGGAGGGCGACGAGCACCAGCGCCACCAGATGCGGGCTTGGCTCGGCGGCAGACGGTGGTGGATGGGGCCGAGGCGCCATGGCGGCTGGGTGTGGGGGGAGCTTGGTCGTCGGGGTGAGAAAGGGCACCACTGGGGGTGGGGAGGGCGCCGCACCAGGGTGGAGGAGAGCCACCCACTCCCTTGCAACACAGCCGTGCCACCTCCATGATCTCGCCGGGGCGTGGATCTCGCTCTGCTCCATGGATCTCATTGGGGGTGAGAGAGGCCACCGGATCTCTGGGCGTTAGGGGCTCCGGTGGAAGAGGACGTCGGACGTTGGTGTGTTGCGGTTGGGGAATGAGGAGGGTGGAAGGGTAAGGGTAGAAGCGGAGCGAGACATGCTTGAGTTGATTTTGTTTTTTAAATGGCTCTGGCACTTAAGAGTGAATGGGTTGTCCCTTCTCTCAGAAGACGAGCTACACATGCGACAGTGAGTGGAGCGAGGCATCCGATGTTTCGAACACCTTAGTGGTAGCATTGGGAAGACCAATACTGACATCGCGACGTGTCAAACGGTACGCATGCGTCCATATAGTACAACCCAAGAATGTACGACTGGACGACCAAGAGCTAGGCCTCCATGACCATTCGTCTGTCCGTCGAGATTATTATATATAGAGTTAAGTTAGGGACAAAGAATACTTCCAAATCAATGGCTCTTCACCTAGCTTACATGCTATCATTTGTTTCCATGCCAGCAAAACAGTGTAGAATGCAGCGAAAATCCCCCCGTCTAGCCATCCTGATTTCTCTGGTCTCTCTTCTGCTGTGCTCGTCGGCGTCGGCACAGCACACGCTGGGCGCCGGCTCCTCCCTGTCCGTGGAAGACCACGCGCGGCCGTTCCTGGTGTCCCCAACGCCACCTTCTCCTGCGGCTTCCTGGAGGCCGGCAGCAACGCCTTCTCCTTCTCCGTCTGGTACACCGACGCAGCGAACAAGACCGCCGTCTGGACGGCGAATCCCGACGCGGCCGTGAACGGCAGGGGATCCAGGATCTCGTTCCGTCGCGACGGGGCCTAGCCCTCTCCGGCGCCAACGGGACGACGGTGTGGGAGAGCAAGACGAGCGGCTCGGGTCTCTATCTCTCCTCCTCGACTCCGGAAACCTCGTCATCTCGGACCTGTCGAGCCGCCGCACCCTGTGGCAAAGCTTCGACCGGCCGACGGACACGCTGGTCCCGTCGCAGCAGCTTACCAAGGACACCACGCTGGTGGCCAGGTACTTCTACCTCTACTACGACAACGACAACGTGCTGCGGCTCCGCTACGACAGCCCCAACATGTCGAGCATCTACTGGCCGAACCCGGATTACGGCGTGTTCCCCAACGGCCGGACGCTCTACAACAGCTCGAGGATCGCTGTCCTCGACGACACCGGCGTCTTCCTGTCTAGCGACAACCTGCGAGTCGTCGCCTCCGACCTGGGCCGCCCGGAGTCAAGAGACGGCTGACCATCGATCCGGACGGCAACCTGAGAATCTACAGCCTGGACTCGTCGACCGGGGCTGGACGGTGACATGGGCGGCGATGGCGCAGGCGTGCTCCGCGCACGGGCTGTGCGGCCGGAACGCGATCTGCGTGTACCAGCCGAGCCTCAGATGCTTGTGCGTGCCCGGTCACGAGACGGTCGACCGGCACGACTGGCGACAAGGTTGCAGACCCATGTACAGCGTCCCCAACTGCAGCCAAGCGGCGCCGCCGGAGCAGCGGTTCAAGTTTGTCGAGGTGCCGCACACCGACTTCTACGGCTACGACGTGGGGTACAACGCCTCCTCTGATACGTTCGAGCACTGCAAGAAGCTATGCTTGGAGATGTGCTCGTGCGCCGCCTTCTCCTACCGGCCGTTCGAAGGCCGAGGCGTCTGCTACCTGAAAGGCTTCCTCTACAACGGCTACACGTCTCCAAACTTCAACGGCAACATCTACCTCAAAGTACCAATCGGTTTCGATGCCTCGGCTCAGTCAGTCTCTGCACGTAGCTCCGAAGGCCTTACTTGCAATCCTGACGGTCCCGAGATCGTCCAAGGAACTCAGACACGTTCCGGGCATCCAGAAACAACGCCAAATGGTCGTACCTGTTTGCGTTCGCCGGAGTGCTGGGAGTTCTTGATATTATCTTCATTGGAACAAGCTGGTGGTTTCTCTCCAGCAAGCAGAGCATACCCAGCTCGCTAGAGGCAGGGTACAGGATGGTCACGGGCCAATTCAGGAGGTTCACGTACCGGGAACTCAAGGACGCGACGGGGAACTTCAAGGAAGAGCTCGGCCGGGGCGGCTCCGGCGTCGTGTACCGCGGCGTGCTCGACAAAGGGAAGGTGGTGGCCGTGAAGAAGCTGACGAACGTGGCGGGGGCGACGAGGAATTCTGGGCGGAAATGACGTTGATCGGACGGATCAACCACATCAACCTCGTCAGGATCTGGGGCTTCTGCTCCCAGGGCAAGCACAAGCTGCTGGTGTACGAGTACGTGGAGAACGAGTCGCTGGACAGGCACCTGTTCGACACGGACAGGACGACGCTACCGTGGCGCGAGCGGTACAGGATCGCGCTGGGCACGGCCAGGGGCCTAGCCTACCTTCACCACGAGTGCCTCGAGTGGGTCGTCCACTGCGACGTGAAGCCGGAGAACATCCTGCTGACGCGCGAGTTCGACGCCAAGATCGCCGACTTCGGGCTGGCCAAGCTCTCCAAGAGGGACAGCGCCGCCGGCGACAGCATGCCTCTCTCTCACATGAGAGGGACGACGGGGTACATGGCGCCGGAGTGGGCGCTCAACGTTCCCATCAACGCCAAGGTGGACGTGTACAGCTACGGGGTTGTGCTGCTAGAGATGGTTATGGGGTGCAGGGTGTGTGACCAGACGACGGCGGGCGGGGAGCGCCTGGAGATGTCGCAGATCGCTCAGGCGTTGAGGCAGGTTGTGGCTACCGGCAACGTCGTGCCCTTGGTGGACGGTAGGTTGCAGGGGCAGTTTAATCCTCGGCAGGCCCTGGAAATGGTGCGGATTTCCTTGTCGTGTATGGAGGATAGGACCAACCGGCCGACAATGGACGACGTTGCCAAGGCTCTCACAGCCTGCGACGACGAGGACGAGCATCCCGCATACAGGTAGAGTCATACCGTTAGGATCAGGAGATAGAAACTTTTTTTTTGTCTCATAGGATAGAATTGGAGGGTTAGTATCCTGTCAAATTTTATACAAATTATAGAATTGGAGGGTTAATATCCTGCGATGACGAGGACGAGCACCCCGCGTACAGGTAGAGTTATACACTCATACTGTTAGGATCAGAAGTGTCAACACTACTACTGTCGGGCAATAAGCATCGCAGAAGAAGCAACATGGGAGGTGGCTACGGAACAAGCCTAAGGACATGCGTCTAGGCCCGTTCGCGAACACAGGCCCAACACATTGGACACTGGCCCAAAGTGTAGTACTTAACGAAGGGAAGAGAGAGTGAGCTTGATGCTTATGAAAATTGTAAACGAATTCCTGAAACAACTTAATTCCTCACAATCTTCTTTTTCCCCAAGTTTGTTGCTAACAATCTTCCCCAAGTTTGTTGCTAACAATCTCATATCAACTTCTCGATCTTCCCACCTTTCTTCGCACTCTATCTCTCACCCTAGACCTGCTGCCGTTGTCGTCCACGACCACTACACCCGCCAGCAACGGAAGCTCGATGCTATGGATCCTAGTTTAAAGTTTCTCCTCGACGAATTCAACCGTCGCTTCGACGATCACGACGCCAAGTGGGAGCAACGCTTCAGCGATCTCGAATTGTGATCGCGAGTGCCCACGATGTCATTGTTGATTGCGCGCTTCGCCGAGCTTGCCCAACCTCTCTGGTCATCGACCCGGCGCCTCGCTGATTTGGAATTGGTGTGGGTGAACCAAAAAGTAGACGTCACCAGGCGCCTCTCCGACCTCAAAGTTGTTCGCATCCAGCAGATCTCCGACGAGCATGATGAGTGGGTAGCGGAGCTCGAAGTGGCGGCTGCGGACATCAATGCTTGGATTCCCGAGTTGGAGGGTGTAGTCGATGACCTCAAGCTCGAAGTCCAGAAGATTGCGAACATTGGAACCACATGGTGCTCTACACATTGTCTCAATGTCAGGGGAATTAATTCAGATAAGAAGTGGAACTTGATCCGTGATCGCATTTTGGAAAGTAACTGTGAAATTGCTTGCTTTCAAGAAACAAAGTGCTTGCTTTTTTATTTATCTTTCATTCGTCACTTTTGTCCTCCTTTTGACAGTTTCGAATTTCTTCCTTCCGTGGATGCATCTGGCAATTCTTTCATAATCTGGAAAAGCTCTTCCTTTAATGACAATCTTGTTTTCCAAAATAACTATGCTACTACTATTGTGTTCACTCTCTTTTTAATAATGCGACCCGGCTCCTCACCAAGATCTACGCTCCTTGCACACCTGTGGATAAAAGGAAGTTTATTCGGTGGTTTCGGAATGTTCAAATGCCTGATTTGGTAGACTGGCTTGTCGTTGGTGACTTCAATCTATATAGACATCCTGATGATATAAACAGACACAGTCTTGACCATGCGAGAGATGTTTATGTTTAATGAATCCATTAGCAAGCTTGGTCTAGTTGAGTTGCCTTTGAGAGGAAAGGGGTTCATCTGGACCAACAAGCAGCACCCCCCTATACTTGAGCACTTGGATTGGTTTTCCACTTCGACTACCTGGATTTTGGCCTATCCTAACATTGTCCCTTTCTATGGAGACTTCAGATCACGTGCCTTGTTTGATTAACATTTCAACTAATATTCCTCGGTTTCATATTTAGATTTGAGAATTTTTTGTTAATGCATGAGGACTTCTTAAACCAAGTTCAGCAGGGTTGGTTTTCCCCTTTCCAGCATTCGGACGCAACTAAATTTCTTACTGCTAAATTTAAGAATTTGTGGAAAATTTGACGGAATGGAAAAAAAGCCAGTCAAGTCTCAAAGAAAACATTACAAATGCCAAGCTGGTCTTAGTTTTCTGAACTTTTTGGAAGAATGCAGGGATTGGTCTCTTATTGAGTGGAATTTCAAAGCATTACTTGGAGATAAATTGATTTTGCTCCTCAAACAACATAAGGCTTATTGGAAACAGAGAGGTATAGTCAAATGGGTCACTCTAGGTGATGCTAGTACAAAGTTTTTTCATGCCCATGCCACAGCAAGGTACAGAAGAAATCTTATTACACAATTATATGGTGAATCTGGTCAAGTTTTTTTATCAGCATTAGAAAAAGGCACATCTGATTTGGTAGGCTTTTAAAGACAGGCTTGGAACAAGTAGCTTCACTGGTGTCTCCTTTGATCTGGCTTCCTTGTTTTCAAATGCAGTAGACTTAACCTTTTTGACTGACACTTTTAGCAGGATGGAGATTGACTCAGTGGTTAAAGTTTTACCCTCGGACAAGTCTCCAAGACTTGATGGGTTTAACACAAATTTTATTAAGAAGTGTTGGTCCATAATATGTGAAGATTTCTATACTCTCTGCTCTGCTTTTTACTTTGGGGACATCTGTTTCCAAAATATTAATGGCTCCTACATGACTCTATTCCCTAAGAAAGATGATGCTTCAAAGGTTGCAGACTATAGACCCATTTCCTTACTTCATTGCTCTATTAAGATCATCACAAAGATTTTGGCTAATAGACTGCAATTTGTCCTACCTTCTTTGATTCATTCGGAGAACCAATATGGTTTCATCGAAATAGAACCATTGAAGAATGCATTGCTTGGGCTCTCAAGTATGTTCATATGTGTCATCAATCTAGGAAAGAGATTATTATTCTCAAGTTTGACTTTGAAAAGGCTTTTGATAGGGTAGAGCATGAGTATATGCTTAAAGTCATGAAAGCCAATGGCTTTCCCAGAAAAATGACTCCAATGGATGAGGCTCTAATCTTTGCTTCAAGAACCTCGGCAGTTCTACTCAATGGGCTTCCTAAGGGGAGAGTAAGGCAGGGGACCCCCTCTCACCACACTGTTTGTGCTAGAAGCAGATTTTCTACATACTATCGTTAATTCATCAAAGAGTAATGGCTTTCTTCACCTGCCCATTCCCTACCTTGTGATCCAGACTTCCCAATTACGCAATAGAATATTGATGACACCCTCATTTTCGATGTCATTCGGTTAAATCATTGAAGAGCCTTCTTGCTGATTCTTCAGGCCTCAGGGTCGACTTTGACAAATCTTTGATATTGCCCATTAATGTTTCTGATGATAAACTAGAACTGCTAGCTAATGCCCTCGATAGCTTAAAAGGTTCTCTTCCTTTTACCTATTTGGACCTTCTTTTGAGTACTACCAAACCTTCAGTAGCTGATTTCTGGTCCCTGGTGTCTAAATGTGAAAGAAGGTTGACTACCTTCTCATCTTTTTTTATCTGAGACTAGAAGATTGGAAATGACAAATGCTATCTACCCTTTCAACCTTTGCCATGTGTACCTTTTTACTCCCTAAGATAGTGATTAAGCAAATAGATAAATTTCGCAAACATTGCTTATGGAGAGGCTCAGATGTAAACAATATGAAGCCACCAAAAGCTGGTTGGGCTCTGGTTTGTTTACCCAAAGCTGAAGGTGGGGTTGGGGGCCATCAATCTTAGTATTCATAACGAATGGCTTTTGCTTAAGAATTTCCATAAATTTTACAAGGAAAATGTTCCCTGGGTGCAGCTTGTGTGGAGTAAGCACTATTCTGGCAATAGACTACCCATAGACTACCCATCTTAGAAGGCCGTCAATTGGGTCTTTTGGTGGTGTGATATTTTAAAACTCCTGAGTCAGTTCAAAGGCATTGTTGTGATTTCAATCAGGGATGGGCCACATGTCTTCTGTGGCATGATCATTGGAGAGGTAACATTTTGAGTCAGCATTTCCCAGAACTATACTCCTTTTCCCAGGCTGCGATCTCTATACCTTTACCCTAGAATCTGTTTCATTTGCCTCTAACTACCGAAGCTTACAATCAGTTTTTAGAGCTTATTTCTATCTTTTAGAATTTTTAGTTACAGTCATCAAATGACAGTTGGACTTATATCTGGGGCTTCTCAGTTTTCTCTTCTAACCAATCTTAAGCATCTTATTGGCCATCGTTAGGTTCAAATATGTCATTAATGGCTTTGGTGTTCTGCTTGTCAAAACAAGCAGAAATTTTTCTTTTGGCTGCTTCTCAAAGATAGACTTAGTACTAGGTAGCTCCTGAGAAGAAAGAATATTTTCTTAGATGACTATAATTGTGTCTTTTGCTCCAACGCTATTGAGGAAGATTTGCTTCATCTCTTCTTTCATTGTCCTTTTGCATTGGACTGCTGCTTCAGTCTTCATCTCCTGGTACCCAACACTTCAGAGCTTGAAATCATCTTGGAAGCATTCAAAGTGCAGCTTCATCTGCCTTCTTCATGAAAGTAATTATTATAAAACAAGCGAATGATTTCCCAACATGCAATAGTTTTCTTTTCTAGAAAAAAAAATCCCAACTCATTCCCATTTCGGATGCGCCCATCCCACGCTCTCCATCATGCTCCCACACCTCTCTCCCGCTCCCTTTCCAATTGGTTGTGACATCACTTGATGCAAACTAGAAAAAAGCAAAATATTTATTTGAGATTGCTATAACTTTACGAAGTGTGTGTATATTTTATTGAGTCTGCGAGGTGTGTGTTTTACGTGATGAAAGCGAACAAAACTAGACCCGACTTGCATATGTTTCAAAGAATTTTATTCTAGTAGAAATTTATGTGTATTAACTTATAACATATAACTTATAACTTATGCCAAAACTTGGAAACACAAAGGTTATGAAACACAACTTATGTATAGAATGTCATATTGTCCAAGTTGTGAAAATAAGTGGTGCATAAAAGTTATGTGTATAAACTTGGAAACACAAAAGTTATGAAACACAAGTTAGGTACAAAAGTTATTAAACACAAAGCAACATATTAACTTATAACTTATGCCAAAACGTGAAGACATAAAAGTTATTAAACACAAGAGAAACGAATTAACTTATAACTTATATCAAAACTTGGATACACAAAAATTATGAAACATAACTTATGTATAAAATGTTATATTGTCAAAGTTACGAATATAAGTTGTGCATAAAAGTTATGTGTATAACTTAGTAACTTTTTCCAAAAAAGGAAAGTTGTGAATTTTTTGCCAAAAATAGAAAATTGCGAAACTGCTCAATCGTTCATTGGATTTGAAACCAGTGAACGCCCATGGAAATGCAATTAGGGATCACCCTCCTGTTTCGTCAAAAGAAAAACAATTGTATCTCCTGATCCTAATACAGTAACGCAACAGCCTATCTTGCTCATGGCTTATATCTACCTGTATGCTGGATGCTCGTCCTCGTCGTCACAGGCTGTGAGAGCCTTGGCAACGTCGTCCATTGTCGGACGGTTGCTCCTGTCCTCCATACACGATAAGGAAATCCGGACCATTTCCAACGCCTGCCGAGGATTAAACTGCCCCTGCAACCTACCGTCCACCAAGGGCACGACGTTGCCGGTAGCCACCACCTGCCTCAAGGCCTGAGCGATCTGCGGCGTCTGCAGGCGCTCCCCGCCCGCCGTGGTCTGGTCACACACCCTGCACCCCATAACCATCTCCAGCAGCACAATACCGTAGCTGTACACGTCTACCTTGACGTTGATGGGAACGTTGAGCGCCCACTCCGGCGCCATGTACCCCGTCGTCCCTCTCATGTGAGAGAGCGGCATGCTGTCGCCGGCGCCGTCGTCCCTCTTGGAGAGCTTGGCCAGCCCAAAGTCGGCGATCTTGGCGTCGAACTCGCGCGTCAGCAGGATGTTCTCCGGCTTGACGTCGCAGTGGATGACCCACTCGAGGCACTCGTGGTGAAGGTAGGCTAGGCCCCTGGCCGTGCCCAGCGCGATCCTGTACCGCTCGCGCCACGGTAGCGTCGTCCTGTCCGTGTCGAACAGGTGCCTGTCCAGCGACTCGTTCTCCACGTACTCGTACACCAGCAGCTTATGCTTGCCCTGGGAGCAGAACCCCCAGATCCGGACCAGGTTCATGTGGTTGATCCGCCCGATCACCGTCATCTCCGCCCAGAACTCCTCGTCGCCCCACGGCACGTTCGTCAGCTTCTTCACGGCCACCACCTTCCCTTTGTCGAGCACGCCGCGGTACACGACGCCCGAGCCGCCCCGGCCCAGCTCCTCCTTGAAGTTCCCCGTCGCGTCCTTGAGCTCTCGGTACGTGAACCTCCTGAACTGGCCCGTGACCATCCTGTAGCCTGCCTCCAGTGAGCTGGGTATGCTCTGCTTGCTGGAGAGGAACCACCAGCTTGTTGCAATGAAGATAATATCAAGAACTCCCAGTACTCCGGCGAACGCAAACAGGTACGGCCACTTCGTCCCGTTTCCTGTTCTACTGAATGTTCCTTCCGATCTTTGGACGATCACGGAAATGTTAGGATCGCAGGCAAGGCCTGCGGCGCTCCGTGCAGTGACGAGAGGCGCCGATGCGTCGAAATCGATAGGAACTTTCAGGTAGATGGTCCCAGAGAAGGCTGAAGACGTGAAGCCGTTGAACAGAATGCTTTTCGGGTAGCAGACGCCTTGGCCTTCAAGCTTGTAGGAGAAGCCGACGCACAAGCACATCTTCAAGCAGAGTTTCTTGCAGTACTCGAACGTGACGGATTGGTTGAACTGCAGATCGTAGCCGTAGAAGTCGCTGTGCGGCAACCTGAGGAATTTAAACTGCTGCTCCGGCGATGGCGACGGCGGCTGGTTACAGTTGGTGACCGGCCTGAACATCGGCTTGCAGCCTTTCCGCCAGTCCTGCCGATCCACCATCTCGTACGCCGGCGGGCACGAGCACCTGAGGCTCGGCTGGTACTCGCAGAGCGCGTTCTGGCCGCACAGCCCGTGCGTGGAGCACGGCTGCCCCAGCGCCGCCCATGTCACCGCCCAGCCCCCTGTGGACGCGTTCATGCTGTAGATTCTCACGTTGCCATCCTGATCCATGGTCAGCCGCCTCTTGACGCCGGGGCCGAAGTCGGAGGCATGGACTCCCAGGTTGTCGCTCGACAGGAACACGCCGTTGTCGTCGAGGACGCCGATCCTGGAGCTGTTGTATGTTGTCCGGCCGTTCTGGAACGGATCGTTGATAGGATTATTTGGCCAGTAGATGCTCGATATGTTGGGGCTGTCGTACAGGAGCCGCAGCACGTTGTCATTGTCGTAGTAGAGGCTGAAGTAGCCCGCGACCAGCTTCTTGTCCTTGGTGAGCGGCTGCGACGGGACCAGTGTGTCCGTCGGCCAATCGAAGCTCTGCCACAAGGTGCGGCCGCCGGTAGACGGGTCCGAGTCCGAGATGAGGAGGTTGCCGGTGTCGAGGAGGGATATGGTCAGGGAGCCCCCGCCGCCACTCGTCTTGCTCTCCCACACCGTGCTGCCGTTGGCGTCGTCGAGGGCTAGGTCCCCGTCACGGCGGAACGAGATCCTAGAGCCCCGGCCGTTCACGGGGGCGCCGGGGTTCGCCGTCCAGATGGCAGTCTTCTCCGCTGCGTCGGTGTACCAGACGGAGAAGGAGAAGGCGTTCTCGCCGGCGTCCTGGAAGCCGCAGGAGAAAGTGCCGTCGGGGGAAGTCAGGAACGGCCGCCAGTGGTCTTCCACCGACAGAGAGGAGCCGGTGCCCAGTGTGTGCTGTGCTGGCTCTGGCGCTGACGACGACGATGACGATGACGATGACGGACACGGCACGACGGCGAGCAGCAAGACGAAGGCCAGACAGGTTCCATATCCTGGCATCGATCGTGTTCCACGATGTTGCGCTTTTGCACTAATGGAGACTGCAAACCGGAGCGTGCTAGCTAGGTGAATGGCCACTGATCTGCCCATGCAGTCATGCACACACAACCACAAGGTTTGCCTGCGTTCATGGGGGGTCAGTACTAGCTAGCTATCTCCAGATATAGCTCTGGCTCCACCAGTATGAACGCACGCGTCCGGCCGAGATCCCGGTCGATCTCGAAGGTTACTTTGGTCTTATTACATCGTGTACCGTATGCCGTATAGTTAACGTAGATCGACTACATCGATTCCAGGGAATTGAAACTTTGATTAGTTGACGATGAAAGTGACTGGGATATACAGAAGCAAATGACACACTATATAGGTAATAAATGAACAAAAATGTGGTCCACAGATCGCCGTTGATAGATCAACGGAATTAGGCATGCTTGCCAAGTTGTTCGGTGTCCTTAGTCCTTATACATACATGCGGGGCATGCTTGTGGTGGTGGGAGAGAGAGAACACCGGGTGTGGTCGAGAGAGAACGACGAGAGAGAGTGTTGGGTTGGGAATTAATATACTTGGCTCCGGTTTTCACTTGGCACGTGGCTAGAACCGGCACTCTAAATTAGCCTAGTATTCACCCCTGGTTCAAGCCATGAGCCGGTGATGAAAATCATTTTCAGTGCCAATTCTGTTACAAATCGGCTGTGATACGTTTTCACCGTTAGTATTAATAGAACTGTAATGATTTTTGGTAGTACTGTTTATAGCTCCAATACTATCAAATGGTTAACATCTTCATGAATTTTAGGCCCTGATTGCTTAAACCCCAACCCCCCCCCAGCTAACAATTGGTTGTGTTAGCTGCATGAAAAACTAGCTAACAGCTAATTGTTAGGTGATAGGTAAGACACAAGCTAGAGTATTAGCTGAGGATTCAAACAAAGTCTTAGCTAATTTTTTGCAGCTAACTATTAGCTTTGTTGGATCAAATAGGACCTTGATCCATTGTTTACCGCTGACAGGCTAAGCAGAGCCATCCACACCAATGGTGAAGATGTGGTTAGGGTAGAGATTGTAAATCTCAATGAGTTTAGAAGGCCCACAAGTTGTAAAGGTGGCTTTGTGGCCAAGGTAGAGCGTCACGGATCATCATTGGTTTTAACATTCATGACTCCAAACCTCTCAAAACACATATGTCAATCACTCATTAAAATAAAGCAGATCAAGACACATTTCAACTTGGTCTCCATACTATTGGATGCCACTTCTTTCACGGTATCTATGTTGTCCATATTCTGCCAATTGGCCTAATGCTTGCAGACTCCATGAAATATTGTCTCGTGTCCTTAATTTTATTTCCCCTAACTTCGCTATATTCTAAAGATGGTAACGCCGCCGTCGACCTTGAACAAAAACATTTCCACACGATGTATATACCAAGCTTGACCGCGACTCAGCATGCGAATCGACTCGCAAAGTTTTTTGAAGGAAACAAACAAGCTTGACGCCTTCGATCGATTAGGATAAGCTAGGATTAGCGATTAGACTCGGTATGCAATCACATACTCCTATATATGAGTACTACTCCTGTATAATAAGCTAACCTTGAATACGTACACCAAATAACATTTGTTTTTCAACCGGCGGTTAGACCATACTACTGCAAGTGTGGTGGAGTGTACGTTAGGATTCATATATATTTGAAGTTGTTCGGGCTCGTAAGTCGACTGAAGCTGATTTGTTGTGATTGAAGCCAGACTGAGAAGTTCAAGCGAAAAGGGCTTGCGTCCAAAAATAATTGTCACGCGCAACAGGCAGGCGAAAAAATCTGTCTGATTTTTGCAAATAAAAAAAGTGTAATTTGCAAGACGAATACGTGTATGGGATCAGGGGTATTCGGACGATAGAAGATCATCAATTGATTGGCCATCCTAGGCATCCAGCTGATCAATACGTACATACTAGGTAGTTCCATCTTTTATGCTTTGTGCGCATGCATCGTATCACTGTTACATGTAAATAATCGGGCATTTGCCACGTGCCCACGTGTCTCCAAGGTAGTCGTCAGAAAGTCGCATGAGAACGTAATTTCTAGAAGTACACTTGATTGGAACAAGTGGACGATGGCATGCATGACAACAAAGACTGAGAGGCTGCCGTAGCTAGGTTGACGTCAACTATTTCTACCGTAAGAAGTTACCCCCTCTGTCCGGATTAAGTGATGATAAATTTAACTAGATTTATAGAAAATATTAGTAATATTTATTTCTCTAAATAAATTTATTATGAAAAATAAATCCAACGATCTATCTAACGATATTAATTATGTACCATAAACATTAATATTTTTTATAAATTTAGTCAAAGTTGTTTCTTGAGAAGCGAAAACAATAATTATTTAGAGGCGAAGGGAGTAGTACTTAGTAGTACTCTATTCATCTTTAACTAAGTCTAATTTCTAGAGTTATCATGTTGTTTTTTAAAAGTTTGGCCAGACTTTTATATAAGAGGACACCAATATTATAACACCAAATTAGTATTTGAGGGTTTGCCAGTTCAGTGCAGTCTCTTGGATGTTCTCATAGGTGTAGTGTGTACATATGTACTAGTGCAAAACGCACGCCCCTGCGCTCGAGTGCAGGAAGTCTGATGGTTCATACAGTGACAAGGTCGATGATTAGGCTACACTGATGTTTACACAGTTGGAAGTTGTGCATATTATACATACGTGCATGGTCCAGAGAAGTGCGGGGAGAGAGTAGTAGTGTTTCTAGGGTTGAACAGGTAGAACTGCGTAGGCATAGGATATCACTATGGAAACATACATGGGTAGATGTATGATATAGGTAATATTGAGATACTACTACCATGTGAGAGAGCGATTAGGCTCATTGGGTGATTACAGCTGGTGTTGAGGTCGAGTGCTTCATCATTAAGTAATGCGTGAGGAAGCGATTGCCTACTCGCGTTGATGTTCTGTGTAGAGATCAGAGGATGTTAGGGTCTGGTGGTTAGACAAATGTAGACTAAGGCATTTTGAAAAAGGGTGCTTTATCTCTGCAGTAGTATGTAATTAGGGTGTCCATGGTTCCCAATCCGATGAGTCTCTTTTATGCAGAGTATTATGTTAGAGATCTTGGCGAAAGGAATGAGAAATGGTATGGTCCGCTGTGAAATGTGTGGTACCTGAGTTTCCATAGTATCTGTAACATAAGGATGAAGTGGTGAGTCAAATAGATTTATTTCTGTAGTTCTATGTGGTAATGGATGGTCGGTCAACAGAGCATGGAATGTATTGTGGAAACAGCATACCTTGTAGCCGGGAGGTTGCCTCATCATCTATCTCTGGTTTGCCATCCTTTTTTTTGAAAATCAAATTTGAAGTCTATCGTTGGAAACCAGAGAATAAAAGGGCAGAGTCAACATTTTATTGAGATTGGCATTACATGGAAGGATAATAATGGAGAAAGCTGGATTCATAGTGCATTTGGTAAATTGAGTAATAGCCACCACTCTATATAATGAAAAAGAATGTTTGTTGCTCTAAAGTTTCGCTTTTCATTTTTTTGTTTTTTTAATTTAAAATAACTGTAGGTGTGCAACTACATGGACCAAAGTTGGCTATAACAACAAATTTTTAATCGATATATACTGAGGAACCTATAACTGCAATTGGCAACTATGCACCTTTTCTAATACGAAACAGATAAAATATGTACCTCCCTTCAGGCTTCAGCTGCGCGATGCACTTTATGCTCCTTGATCATCACGTGCAGCCCGCCAATCAATATCGAAGACAGGCGCTGCCAGCCAACACCATGACTGAACCACCACAACTGACACCACAAGGCATGCACACATGAGATCAAGGGCAGTGAACATTTAGAAGTTGTCAGGTTGCCTAAACCTCATGACATAGCAGGTGATAAGATTATAAAAATGTAAACTAAGCAATTGTTTCAGGTATACAATAATTTCCAGGTAATATGTAAATTAAGCATTTGTGCAAGAAGTAGACAAGATTTGTATAGCTTGTTGAATACCGCTCTGTGCCTATATTTTTGTAATGAGCTTCCATGTATAGAAACTGAGTGGCCGTTTAAAAGCTCTGAATCTGTACAAACCTTTAATAAACAATAGTAGGTGCTGAAATCATAAAAACGAGCCATATGTTCTGTCAGCCCGTAGAACTATAGTGATTTGCGGGTGATTTTTAGACAGCATCTGAGTGGAAAGCATGGAAAATGGAGGAGTATTTCCTCTGGGTGAAATAGTCTTGCTGTGCTAAGTACTCCGCCATATCTATTTTACAATCCAGGATGTAAGCTAGATATTTATATGCAAGCTTCATCTCTGCCAAATATATTTGACACTTCTAACTAAACTGGAATGAACTGTCATAGTCATACAACCTGAGCACCCATAATATACCATTAACAATAATAGTAAAAACTATCTTACGTAAACCATCTTATACTATTGTGCAAAGTGCTATTCTTTTCATCCATACAGTGGCTACAGACATACAGTCATATAAAGACAGGTACCTTAAAAGCCACAAACTGAAACTATACTCAAGGGTATCATCCTATTGATTTGCATAGTAGCTAAACAGGTACAACAAATAGATTTGAGGCTTAGTAACTATGCTTAAGTGTGAGAGGTAAACTGATGGTATTTTCTGCAATAAAAATAGCTAAAAATTCCTACTGTAAATAGATATCAAGCCAGCTGCAAACCTATAAATAAACCAGCTGAAGTGTGTTGCGGAATAGAAATTTGCTTATAGCAGCCTACATAATAATATTGCTCAATAAATCATTTAATGGGGTAGCTGATCCATAGGACCTCATTTAATGGAATAGAAATTTGCTTACAGCAGTCTATAGAAACAAATGAGCTCACCAGTTCACTTTGTAATCTGACTGATCCACAGGACCTTAGTTGCAGTTGTTTCAGACCTGCAAGAAAGTGGACAGAGATGGATAGGAATAGATACATCATCGGCTAT